ACTGAGCTGCTCCTCTGAAGGCAATGAGAATTTATTGGGCTGACATATGGAGATTTTCTAAGACAGGCTCAGAATGATGACAGTAAAGTTTTTAGGAGTTGATTCATATTCAGTCCAAGGAAACACCATCCTAATAAACCCATCAGATACCAAGGGTCAACTGAAGAATTTCAACCCAAATTATTTCTAAGTAGGTCAACCAACTACTGGTCTGAGTAGATAGAAGCCAAGAGGATAAGTGCAGGTGTGTGTTTTACTTTGTGGAAGAAACTATGTAATAGATCAGAGAAAGAAGCAGAAAGTTCACATAGACCAGTATTGACCCAAATTATCTAATATAATATTTCATTTCATGACTTTAGAGTGTAGGGCTGTATATGAGCTTCAAAGTTCCTCTTAAGTGAGCTCACCCCTGGCCCTGCTACAGAAATTCTGTTTGACTCTCAACTCTGGTCAAAGCAATCTAATGAGACTAAGTTTACTCAACTGTGCAATGTGTGAATAGCACCTTCTTTCTCATTGAGAATTTGATGCGTTTAGTGTAAAGTCTTTAGCATACAACTAATGTGCTTGAAATACTTTTACTTAGAATTAGTGACATTGTTCTCAAGAGCTTTCAACTTAAAACTGAACCTACAAAACACTGTAAGTTGCTCTAAGGCTTACACAATTTGTTTGTTGTTGTTGTTCTTCCAGACATATTGTGAACTGTACACAGGATTCAAGAAGGAAAGAAAAAAGTTAGAATAATGGCTGAAAACTTAGGTACTTGCAAGGGTCAGGAAGGCAATATGAATGAATGAAGAGATTGGTTGAAACATGTACCCAAGTGGAGGGTGTGTGCCTGTTCTAAGAGAGCAGTGGCTGTGACTTGCTATGCAGGAAGGTGGGCACACTGCTGTCTGCTTTCTCAGTGCCAGACTTATTAAATTTTAAAAACATTTCTTGCTTTTAAGAAATTGGCAAGAATTAAAATAAGCAAATACTGGGTAGGCAGAAATATAAGTGTTTAAAGAAAGAGTATATGACATTAGATCAAGGGCAAACACAACAAGGGGATTGGACTATGAGCACATGATAAAAGCGAGAGCACACAAGGGAGGGGTGAGGATAGGTAAGACACCTAAAAAATTAGCTAGCATTTGTTGCCCTTAACGCAGAGAAACTAAAGCAGATACCTTAAAGCAACTGAGGCCAATAGGAAAAGGGGACCAGGAACTAGAGAAAAGGTTAGGTCAAAAAGAATTAACCTAGAAGGTAACACCCACGCACAGGAAATCAATGTGAGTCAATGACCTGTATAGCTATCCTTATCTCAACCAGCAAAACCCCTTGTTCCTTCCTATTATTGCTTATACTCTCTCTACAACAAAATTAGAGATAAGAGCAAAATAGTTTCTGCTGGGTATTGAGGGGGGGAGCGGGAGGGGGTGGAGTGGGTGGTAAGGGAGGGGGTGGGGGCAGGGGGGAGAAATGAACCAAGCCTTGTATGCACATATGAATAATAAAAGAAAAATGAAAAAAAAAAAAAAGAGTATATGAAAACAGATGTGTGTGTTTGTGATTGCACAGGTGGAATATGCAAAGAAGTAGAATGGGTGGGGGAAGATAAAGTATCAAGTAAATGCAATATGTGAAGATTACTAAAGACTAGATAGACCATTAGGCTTTGGGGAACTATAAAGAGGTCCAAATTCCTGATGCAGTAAAGTCAGAGTGGGGAGTTTGTGAGGAGGAAACTAGAGGTAAGAGAGGATAGGATCTTTCTTTCACTGGTAGGACTAAGGAATTTCAGCTTGATCTTTAAAACAATGGCTTGTTTAGGAAAGGGGTCAAACCAGAATGACAGAATCAAATTTTCAGATTTGCATACATTCTGGTTGCAACATAGTTAATGGATGGAAAGACTCTTTTAGGGTTGAAGGTCAGAGTGAGAAAGACAGCATCAAGAGTATGGAACTGAGTATGGAACTATAGAAAGAAGCAGAGTCATGTGGAGGAGTCTGAAAGAGCAAACCAACTTTATGAGTGAAGAGCCGGAGAGAAGATTGTGGCTGCATTTCTGCAAGAATTAAGTTTTGCAGAAAATACAGGCCTGGAACATCACTCTACATACAACACATAACATTAGCAGAAAGTGGAGAACCAACCACTATTCCAGGTCTGCATGTGGTGCATGTGTGTTTTGTGTGGTGGTGGGAGTCATCATAAAATTATTCTGTCCTAGTCTACATACTCTTCTCCATGATGAAAAAGAAATCTCACCTTGTTTTTCTCCTTTGTAAAGAATAAAACATAGGTGCAAACTGAAAGTTAGTTTATTGAACAGTTAGTTACACAGTGTCTCATTGTGTCACTATGTTCTGCCACATCTGGAAGTGACATGATCCTTTTTGTCTGATGGCTTGTCACAGGCTCTGACTGTCTACCACTTCAAGAGTGCATTTCTGCCAGAGAAACTGCCCCATTCAGCTTGCTCTCCCTTTATAAGTGAGTTGACTAAGTCACATGAAAGTACATGTGCCATAGATCTTGCATTCTCCTCCTCTGCCAGGAGAAAAATAATGCTAATGAGATATGTGGAGAGTTATTTAAGTCCACTGTGGGAAGTGACTACAAAATAAAGGGAAATATTTGACTACATAAATCCTCCCTCTTTATCTACACATTCTCCAGTAAAGAAATAATGAACCTTCTGCTGTGATCTGCTTGTATGTATAATTGATTTATCTTGTGGTTCAAAGGAGATTTACTCACTAAAATTGAGACAGACAGGAGAATGCAATTTGGGTTTGGCTTCTTGGCCTGCTTGGGTATCACTTTTCAGAACTGGAAATACACTGAAGTTTTATCATTATCTCAGAATAAGAGACTAGATTTATCTCTTAAGAATATTCACTCTCAGTCTTTGAATTCAAGCAGTAAATTTCATACATGTGTTTACTGGTCTGCCAACCTGATATGATTTATAGAAAGTAGATTTCTCCTCATCCATTCTTCCAGTCATCTACATTTATTATTTCTCTGCCTCCCTATTCCCCCATCACCTATTTATTCTTTTAATTTACAGCTGTGTTTCTTTGCCAACATCTACATTCCTTGTCTGAGATAGCACATTTGGAATTCCCATCCAATCATCCTTCATGGGAATACATTCCAATCTAGTCACTTTCTAGGCCAAGATCCAATAAAATTGTAGGATACATGTGTAGGAATGAATGAGACTTAGGCATGAGGTCCTATGGATTCAAAAAATACATGATCAGTATGTCCTGCTCTTGGTGTTTTCTCATCTGCCTTTTCCTCCTCTCCATTAGTATATTTGGTACACTTACATGTATGTGTGTATTCCCCACTTATCCATGGGTGGATCCTTGAGCTCAAAGATTTGAAATAAAATATCTGTTCTTTAAGAACAGGCCAAAACTCTGCTTCCTCTGGGATCTCCTGGAAATTCTAGCACTAAATAAATACATATCAGTGAGATTTACCTTTATATCCTCGTTCTTGGCACACAAATTTTCTAATATCAGGTGGGGTCAACAAGTTTACAAAAGAAGAAGGTGACTGGAGTGGTTTCTCTAGCAGAAATATACTTCTTGAGGTGGGAGCCATTCAGTTTGGTGACAAGAGTCATAGACAAGGAGATCATGTCACTTCAGGAGCTGAGAGAACACAGTGACACAATGAGACATCATGAATCTAACTTGCTCAATAAACTGATTTCTGGTTTTCACTTAGCTATGCTTTGTTCTTTACAAAGGAGAAATATTAGAGGTGAGATCCTTTTTTCTTTAATAAGAGGATAGAAACATGGATTTCCAATGGAAACAAAATCTTTAGGAACTCCGAATCTGCCCTATTCTTCAGTGATTTGTAAAGCATATATGGAATCTTCCTGAAACCTTTGAGATGTTTCATTATCTGAACGTTGGGTATTGGTCCTATACTCCATTCTTGGGGGAGAAATTTTGTCTTCTAAACAGTATTTTGAATCAGCTTATATATCCTAATCACCCACCACTTCTAGTTATTCTATGAACATTCAAGGGATAGGGAACAGCAATTATTGAGAACATATTGTACTCTGTGATTGTGACTAAGTCTCACTAAAAACACATGAAATAAATTTGTTCTTATTTTACAGGTCAAGTAGCAGATGCTTAGGCTATACAGTGGTCAATATAGCTAATCAGTGAGTGACATGGAATTGACTTCGTGTCTACTGGCCCTAAAATCAATCTCTTTTGCCAGTGCACAGAGCTGTACCACATAAACAGTAGGAAGAGTGTCACAGTTTTCTAATTTGGTTCATCAAACAACTCTCTTCTAACTTTTTCAGAAGGGGTAATAGCACTGTGTGTCTTCTTCTTCAGATGAAAGTTCACTATAGACCACATTAAAAAAATCAACTTTATTTTGCAAGGAACCTGAAGTCTCATTCTTACACATTATTTATTTATTTGTTTGTTTGCTTATTTATTTATTGAGGTACTGGGGTTTGAACTCGGGCCTACACCTCCAGCCACTCCATCAGCACTTTCCTGTGATGGGTATTTTCGAGATATTGTCTTAAGAACTATTTGCCAGGTCTGACTTTGAACTGCTATCCTCCTGAACTTTGCCTCCTGAGTAGCTAGGATTACAGATGTGAGCCACGGCGACCAGTTCATTCTTAAACATTTAGGGTACAGAATTCCTCAAGAACTGTTCTCTCTCTCTCTCTCTTTCTCTTTCTCTTTATTGGTGTGTGTGTGTGTGTGTGTGTGTGTGTGTGTGTGTGTGTGTGTGCATGTCAGAGATAGAGAGTATTGTTCTGGGCTAGAAGGAGACATTTTCCAGGTTCTTTAAATCCCTAACTCTCACTGGAAACTCAGTAGAAAAGTTCAGCATGACTTAATGACAGAACAAGTTTACTGTTACCCATAACAATATTAAACCTAAAAGAACTGAAGCCTATGATTCCTTGAATTATTTTTCCTTTTATTTTTCATTCTTAGGTGGAACATCATCAAGACAGAAAGGCTTTGTAGGATGCATCCGCTCCCTACACTTGAATGGACAGAAATTGGACCTGGAGGAGAGGGCAAAAGTCACATCTGGGGTCAGGCCAGGCTGTCCAGGTCATTGCAGCAGCTATGGCAGCAACTGCCACAATGGGGGCAAGTGTGTGGAAAAGCACAGTGGCTACTCCTGTGACTGTACCAATTCGCCATATGAGGGGCCGTTCTGCCAAAAAGGTATGCTGGGCCTCCTGCTCCTCTTGTGTATAATGTTCTAGCACCTGCAGGCCCTGGTCACATCTCATGGAACCCATGTCCTCAGATAGTCCTCACCAGGTACTCTCCATTCCATTTCCTTCTGTTCAGAGACTCTACTTCACTCCTCAACATGACCCCAGGTACTCACTGTGTCCGTAGGTGTGTACACTGCAATGCAGTTGAGCTGGTGGGCAGTAAAGAATGCACAGTGCCCAAGACTAAGCAACCCACTGAAGACTAGGAGAGGTGGATGCTCATACTTGTGCTAGTTGGATTTTTAACCAAACACCAGTATTTCCAGTTCTAATATATCAGTCCACACATGTAATCAAAGAATCATAGAATCTAGCCCTGGAGGAGCCGTAGAGACACTTAAGCCATCTTCAATCATTTTTATAACAAAGTGAGTAGATAGAGGTCAATTAGTAAAAACAGTATCATGTAGCTAGTATCCCTATTCTGCAGTGTAGTGAGGGAAAATGTGAGGCTTTGCAATCCTAGCTTTGAGGCTCATTTTCTCCTTTTCTAAGATTGGAATACATGAGTCACAATCCCTGCCCTGTGTCTCTTCCATGTGCACACCCCTTCCCAACCATGTGAATTCATTGCATTTATAAAAGTGAATCATAATAGATGTGCAGCTTGGAGAACAATCCTCAAGTTCTGCCTTCTCTAGATAAATTCTAGATACATCCAGAATGCATAGAATCTTATTCTTCAGAATAAATACTCCATATTTTTCAAGCACAAAGACAAAAGGTTTGTCTACTATCGATCTTTCCAGTGTTTTAAATTTATTTTATAGATGGAGAAAAGTTTGCTCAGCAAATAATGTAAACAACATTTCAAAAACAGCATTTAATATATTAAAATAAAAATTTTTAATCACCATGACAGGAATTATAAGTAATTCTTGTTGATTCATTAAAATACATTTCCCAAGCATCTTTACCAAACCGTGCTTCATTTAGTCCAACTTACTTTGGAATTTGAGGACAAAAGAAAATTAAAAGCATCCAGTGTTTGCATTGAAGGATTCTATCATCCAGGCTTTCCACTTATTCGTTCTAGCTTTCTCCCCATTTACTTGGACTTACATGCTTAATACTGTTGGAAAGCATTTCTATTATGCTTCTTGTGAAAAAATGAATGGTACAAGTTTCAGGGCCAACAGTGTGTTGAGCACTGCATGGGACATTGAAATAAAACAGGTCCCATCCCAGTGGACTCTGGATAAGAGCAAAGTGCTACTGAGTTTTTGTGCTGGGAGAGGTCTCTGAACAACATGCCCTGAAAAGTTTCAATGCCATTCTTAGAGGGGTCCCATTAACTGGAAGGAGCAAATATAGAATAAATGCTATGAGCCCATCGCTGAAGTACACAAATACTATCTTACAGCATCTGTATCCAAATCTTCTGTTTGAAAAGAAAAGTGAGCAGCAGACGTGTTTGCATTTCTCCAGGGACATTATTCAAACATCGCACAGATCATATTGTCCTAAATTTATACTATTTTTCAAGTTCCTTCTGAAACAATTCCTCTTAATTCTCTTCTTTCTGTGGCGGTATATCTGTTGCCTGCCCTGTTGAAATATTCTCTGTGTTCCTCTCATTCTTCTATTTTGATCCATAAGTTAAATAAATAAATATGTGGCTAGACTTTTCAGGGTTCTTTGTAACTTACTATCTCCAAACTTTCCCCCTCTATATTCAAAAGAAGTGATTCCCTCTCTATTCAATAACTGCATTGTATGTAGGAAGCAATTTTTAACCAAAACTTTTAGCAATGCCTCTGGATAGTGTGAAGTAGAACTGACACAGGGAGCCATCCATTACAAGATGGCCCTGAACAAGGTGTGCTCTCTGTTGGGGAACTCTTTCCTTCTAAATACAGCTTCACAATGTATTTCAGGGAAGTGATGAAATACCAAAAATATGTAAGATGGAATTTGGGACATCAGATTCTTGTCAATGCAGGGCCAGAACCACCGGTACACTCTATTTCTTATAATGGTACAAAGAAACAATAATCATAAAAGAACTAGCTATGAAATGCAACATATATCCCTTATCTCCAAAGTAATAAAGGATTGATATATGGATTTAACACAGGAGAGCTTCACAGAAGTGTGCTAGCTTACCATCACTGTGACAAAATACTTGAAAAAGCCAAAGTAAAAAGAGGAGAGGTTGCTGGAGCTGGTGGCTCGCACTTGTAATCCTAGCTATTTAAGAGGCAGGCATCAAGAACCAGAATAGGCAAATAGTAGTTCACCAGACCCTATCTCAAAAAAACCCCTTGGGAGTGGCTTAATGTATAGGCCATGAGTTCAAGCACCAGTACTGCAAAAAAAAAAAAAAAAAAAGGTTATTTTGGCGTTTTGGTCCACCATACCTTGGTCCTGTTGCCTTCAGTACTGTGGCAACATATTTCATCATGGTGGAAATGTGTGGCAGAGAAAAACCTGTCCATCTCATGGCTCATGTGGAGCAAAAGAGAGAGAGAAAGAGGCTTTGGTCCCAAATCCCTTTCGAGGGCATGCCCCCAGCCAGTGATCTAACTTCCTTCCTCTAGCTCCCACCTCCTAAGGTTCCACCACCTCCTAGTTGTGCCACCGGCTGGCAACCACACCATTAGTGGGCCTTCAAGATCCAAACCTTCAAGATCCAAACCTTCGGAGGTTGTTTAATGATTTACTAATAATTGTCAGAGCTCAAGGTTCACACAGCATCTTTTTTTGTTGCTTTTTTATAATCATTTTCATTTATGATCCTAATTTCATTCTTTATAAAAACACAGAAGTACAATTTCATCTTTCCAGCTATGTAGCTTTTTCTTTTGTATGTTTTTCTCCTTTTATGTGAGTTACTGAGATACAACTCACGTACCCAATCCCCAACCTTTCAAAGTGTGTAGTGCAGTGACTTTTAGTATTTTCAGAGCTACGTACCATCACATAGTCCCTATCTAATTTCAGAATGTTTTTCATCAACTCCATGCCTGTTAGCAGCCATTTCCCATTCTCCTCACCTGCCATGGCTGGAAACCATGGATCCACTTTCTGTTGCTGTCATTTTGCCCTTTCTGAGCCTTTTACATAAAGAGAACCATGCAATTGTGTCATCCTTGTGTCTACTTTCTCCCACTTAACTTAATGTCACCAAGGTTTAATCACGTTGTAGCATTTCTCAGCATTTTATTTTTTTTTTATCACGAAGAGTACTGTGTAGCATTTATGCTATACAGTTTATGTATCCATTTTTCAGTTGACCAGCACTGGGATGGTTCTATAACTTTGGATATTATGAACAATGCTGCTGTGAATATTTACCAACACATTTGTGCAAGGTCATGTGTTTTCCATTCTCATGACCTACAAGTAAGATTGCTGGGTCATATAGGCCTTATTTTTTTCCTTTAGAGAAAATGCTAAATGATTGGTTGATTTTATATGCTCACCAGCAATGTATGAGGGTTCCAATTTTTAACATCCTTGCCTATACTTGATTTTACATGATTTTTTAATAGTTGTACTGGGAGTACATTGTGTCATTTACAGAAGATCTTACAATATATCAAATATTTCACTTGAATTCACCCCCCTCCATCAATGCACATCTTTCTGGATGTGAACTGATAGCACATGGTTGTTCTGACTTGCACTTACTTAATGACTAGTGATATGAAGCATCATTTCATGCCCTTATTGTCCATTCATATATCTTATTTGGAGAAATGTTTATTCAAATATTTTGCAGACTTCTATTACCCTTTTACTATTCAATTGCAAAATTCCTGTATCTTCTAATATATGTCCTTTATTAACTGTATAATTTGCAAATATATTCTCCAATTCTGTGGAGTCTTTTTCTTTACAGTATATATATATATTTTTGGTGGTACTGGGGTTTGAATTCAGGGCCTTATACTTGTTATTTAGGTGCTCTACAACTTGAGCCACATCCCCAGCCCTTTTGAACTTTAGTTATTTTTCAGATAGGGTCTGAAGCTTCTTGCCCAGGGACCACCTTGGATCGTGATCCTTCTATTTATGTTTCCTATGTAACTGGGATTACAGACATGTACCATTGTGTCCGGCTCATTTGTTGAGGTGAGTCTTTCTAAATTTTGCCCTGGCTGTCCACAAACTGCAGTTCTCCCAATCTCCAGCTCCCAGTAACTGGGATTACAGTAGTGAGCCACTAAACCTAACCTATATTGTCTTATGAAGCAAAAATTTTTCAATTCTGATGTTCAAGTCATCAAATTTTTCTTTTATTGCTTACGATTTCAATGTCATATCTGAGGAATCGTTGCTAAGGACATGGAAAATTGTTTCTTCTAACAGTTTTAGCTGCTACCTTTTGGGCTTTGGCCCGTTTTGAGCTCATGGTGAGGCAGGGGCTCGACACGATTCTTTGCATGTGGATATCTACTTTCCCAACACCATTTCGCCCCACCCATCATCATTAATTGAATAATATGGGTGTGACTATTTCCTAATTGAAATGTTAGAAAATAAATTTGGGAATTGATGTAGAAATCTAGAAAAGTTGAAACCTAATCTAATTACTTAGAAATTAGTCATTTAAAATTATTTCCTTAGGCCACATGTACCTATAATTTCAGCTATGGAGGTGGGAGACAGAGATGGGAGGACCAATTTTTGAGACCAGCTTTGGCAAAATATATATATATATATATTAGTGAGATTCTATCTAAAAGAAAAAAAAAAAAAAGCTGGGAGTGATATTTCATGTCTGCATTTCCAGCAACGCAGGAGGCAGAGGTAGGAGGATGATAATCTGAGACTAGCCTGGGGCAAAAAGCCTCTATGTGAAAAATAAACTAAAGCCAGTTGGGAGTTCAAGCACCAACACCACAAAACAAGAAATATTATCTTTTATTTCTAGTTCTTTCCTTTGCATTTATATAGCAGAGAAAATGCTGTTTTATTTTATTATTTTAGTTTAGTTTTTTAAAAAATTATTGTTGTACTGAGGGTACATGGTGACATTTATAAAAGTTCTTAAAATATGTCATCCCCCTCTTCTCCCAGTCCTGGAATAGTTTCAACAGGTCTCATTTGAAATTGTAAATTTTTAAAGTTTCATTGTATAAGCATTCCTATATAAGTCATAAATATTTGTAAGCATCAGTTTTACTCACTTCAATATTTCCCATCTGACACAACCTTTTCTTACTTAAACCATTTGATTTCCACAGCATTAATGCTCAGAGTAACACTAGAAGTCCAGCTCAAGAACTAACCAAGTTCAGATTCTCACATATCTACAGTCTGCAGAGTGTGACAATGGTCATGTACCTAACCTCAACCTTCCTTGATTTCCTTATCTAAAGTGTGTACATAAGTCATGAATCAATCATTCTCAAGGGGTTGTGCTTAACATTCAAGATCCCTCCACACAGCACTTGAGATGACCCCCCCGCCACACACACGCATATAAAGTCTCACTAAATGCTTGCTCTCACTAATATTTGGGAATTTTTAATCATCCCAGATTTTGTTTATAAGTAATCTATAATAAGCATATGCATTATTTTTCTTAGTAATAGAATTTTATTTTAAAAAGATACTATGTATATACATTTAGGTACTTTTTGTCCAAAATCTTTTAATATTTATTAACTTATGGCATTCATTTTTACTTTTCATCATGGAAAATGAAAACATATCCTGCAGTAGGGAGAATTTAAGAATTCTCACACACACCTGTTATCTACCTTCAACAATTACCAACACATAGCTGTTTTTACTTAATTGTTACACTCATGTCCTGTCCTTTCCCTTTATTATATTGAAGCAAATCTCAGTTACCATATCCTTTCATGTACTAATAACACATTGTGTATTGCTAAAAGAGAAGAACTAATTAAAAACACAGATGCTACTACTATTAATCGTATAAAAAGTATAATATCTTAATACTATGGAATATACACTTGGTGTTCACATTTCCCTTGGCTTTATTTTTTGTTTGCTTGATATCTTTCTAAATTAGATATAGCCTGTATGATTTTAATGTATCCACTATACTAACTTATTACCCAGGACTGGATCTTCATGTTCTCATTCAGAATTTAATTCCATTACTAGTAGTAAGACCAGCTACTATTTATTGAATTACTCCTATGTGTTGTGATTTTTTGTGCTTTCTTCCAGTTCTTCCACTCAACCCCATAAATGAATTCATCTTTATTGTTTGAGAACTTGAGGCTGAATGGAATCCTGTAAGAGCTGAGAACAGGCATTGTTTGATGCTTTTGGCCTTATGCCGAAATAGACAACATCTAAAAACTAAAAATAATTACAACTAGGGCTAGACAAAAAACAATGGCAGAAATTTGGTTTCACATATCTCATTATAAAAAATTCATTTTCAATTTATTGTCCTAAATATAAAAAATAATATCTATACCCATACTAATATGCCATTCATATCAGAAGACTCTGAACTAGATTTATGTCTAAAAACAAATATCAAATAAAAGCCCTTTATTTTAGTAACTGGGACATGGTAGCTCAAGATGCAAATGTCCCCAAGGAAAATTACTCAAGGAAAATGCTCAAATCAATCATGAGTAACAAGAGTCTTCACTGTCAAAAGTGTCTGCAACATGTTTTTATGAACAGTAATACCAGTATTGTAACTTGCATGATAATGCAGATCATTTCTCTGAACCTTTGGTAAAATTGCACTAGTATTCCCAATCTGCTAGGCAATCTGCATAATATGCTGCATTCTTTTTTTGGCACTATTACAGATTGTTACAGAATTTTCACAAGGTAAAACAAATTTGCAATAGAATTAGGAAGCAAAGTCAGATTTAATATGTTCTAGGTACTACAAACTCAATCACAGAATTTCAGGGGGAATTAGGGACCATCCACTTGTCTTTCAGGATGAATGGAAATTCATCATGTCAATAGGAACTCATGTTTACAATGGTGTTTTCTCAGTTCTAAGATGTGCTGCTGTATAAAAGAATCTTTCCTTACACCATGATACAGTAGAGATAAAACTTAAACCAAACTGAAGAGCAGCCTTGGCCCAAGCAGAATAAACAGTTCAACATTTGGATGAATGTGCCATCAGTAAAGAGACATATTGCAGGAGGGGTCCTGGCATGGGCTAAGGCTAAAATCACAATCTTTTAACTCAGAAGCTTTGCGTTTCAACCATGCTTGGCAATGGTCTTACATTCTTTACATGTACCATCTCATATAATCACATGGGATACTGATGATGTAGGTGTTAGGGTTACAACTGCCCAGGGGAGAAAACAGTCTCCTTAGGGTTCGCTCACCTTCTGGGACCACACAGCCTGTGTGGACTCAGGGAGACCTCAGCTCCACTGCTGAGTCTTACCGTGCTAGTTTCTCTGAACTGAAATGTTAACCAAGGAAGAACATTCTACAAGGATCGGAAGATTTACAGTTTTCTGCTAATTGAATTTCATCACTCTCTTGATGGCACATTTCTCAAAGGTGGTGGCAGACTTCCACCCAATGTACATATCTTTAGAGATTGTTTACCTAATTCTTAACTGTTTTTGGAACTGAGTACCAGTGAGTACATATCTGAAAATTGAGCTTAGAGTTGAAAACCCATGGCTTTTCTATTTTCCATAAATTCCTTCTGTACTGTTTCCATGGGTCCTCATATTTTACCAAACACCATAAGGAATGACTGCTGTTCTCCTCATGTCCTACACTTGTAACTCAGAGCCCACTCACAGACTGAAAAGCCAGATAAACACAAAGCAGAACTGCTAAGACCTTGGATTTCATGTTTTCTTTTTATTTTGCTGATTTTTTGAGACTGAGTTTCTCTACGTAGTCCAGGCTGACCTAAAACTCGGGATCTTCCTGCTTCTGTCTCCCAAATTCTGGAACTATGGGTATTTGCTACCATATATGGCTCAGGTTCTCAGTTTTGACAGTAAGATGGTCCCAGTAAAATTTCTCCATTCATCATGCTGCAGAAAGAGACAATTATTTTTTACCTCTCCAGAAATTCTCACTACCTACTGTAGTCATTCTGCAAACATAATGTTGAATTGGACCTTAACTTCAGAAGGCAAACCTGAACACTCTCTTCTGACTGTGCACCTTGTTCCAAATGCTTAATGTCTGTGAGCCTCAGGTTTCTTATTTGTAGAGAGAATGATAGGTTTTTGCCACTTTAAAATTATTGGTGGACACATTGTATGAGTCAAGTAAAACCCTTCACACAGTGCCTAGTACATAAGGGATTGTGCACAGGCTATTATGACCATCCTGAGGGAATGACTAAATGTTTTAATGTGTGCTTTCCTCTCTCTTTTGCAGAAGTATCTGCTATTTTTGAGGCTGGCACATCACTTACTTACATGTTTCAAGAACCCTACCCTGTTACCAAGAATACAAGCCTCTCATCTTCAGCTATTTACACAGATGCAGCTCCATCCAAGGAAAGAATTGCTCTTAGCTTTGTGACAGCTCAGGCACCCAGCCTCCTGCTCTTTATCAATTCTTCTTCTCAGGACTTCTTGGCCATCCTGATCTGCAAGAATGGTAAGTGCTGACAGCATGCAGTCAAGTGGCATGACAGCCTGGCCTGGAGGGACAAAGCATGCCCTGCAGAATTCTGCACTCAGTTTTGCCCTCACGTTGGTCGCCCCTGGGCAGCTTTTATCTAGATTTCCAGACAAACTTTTGATTATACTTTACCTGTATGAGTTTCAGTTGGTATTCAAGGTCAGTGTCAATTCATTGAGCAAGTCTCAAATGCACTGACTTTAATTTGCCTCAACTGTGTAGCAGTAATTCTTTATTATTTATTCCGTGCTAGAATCCATTAAGGGAAAAGGAGAAGATCATAAGCATATCTGAATTTCGGAAGGACACTTGCCACATACATCCTGTCATCTTTGCTGCAGTCCCCTTTACTAAGGGCTGTTAAAACACCTAGCATAAATGCAGGCTGAATATTGGAAGTCGATTGTCTAGTTCTTAGGGAGAAGTACTGTATGTGTGTTGTAACCTTGTGGAATAAAGGCACTTCCTTCTGAGAAAAGCTCTTTTTGAAGACAAACTTCTTTTACATCATGACAGATGGTACATATTGTGACATCTGCTGTTCTGAGAGAGCAAGATCTGGGGTACTTAATTTGACAAAATAATACTATTGGTTCACAAATTGAATTTTATTATTTCCTTTCTTTTTTCTTATAATTATTCCAATTACATATAAATTTCACAAACACAGGACATTTTTCCCCTAACAGTAAATGCATGGATAGACTCACTGTTTTTTGAAGGCTATAGTATATTATTGTTTACGCTTCTGGACTAATGATATCCTCAACAACCCAGTATTTGAAGAGAATAAACCATGTATTAATTTTCAATAGAACCCAGGATCTCATGATTGAATTGTCCCTTATTAAATAACTTAACGTACAGGTGTGGCCCAGACTTTGGAAAGAATGCAGACAAAATGAAATAAGAGGAAGCTAGAGTAATGCAGGGGCTGGAGTTATTTCATACAAGAAATGTTGCAGGCCATCAGGTCTGATGGTTATTAAGGGAAGTCAGGCTTTCTTCCCATATGACTTTATTACATCTTACGAGTGATCATGATCTAGCCATGGCCAAGGACACTATGAAATCAAAATTCTTTGGGATGGCACAATTATTTGAATAGCAAGATGGGCAAAGAAATGGACATCCCTGTAATGTGATCTCAAAGATCACCACTGTGTGATTAAGAGTATGCCTTTCCTCTCTACAAGGAAAACTATAAACTTCTGAAGAAAGAAATTGAGGAAAGGAATACAAATAGGTAAAGAAACTGTCAAAATAACCCTATTTGCAGATGATATGATCCTATACCTTAAAGACCCAAGAAACTCTACTCAAAAGCTCCTAGACACCATCAACTGCTATATCAAGCTAGCAGGATATAAAGTCAACATAGAAAAATCATTAGCATTTCTATACACTAATAATGAACAAAACTGAGAAAGAATATATGAAAATAATTCCGTTTACAACAGCCTCAAAAAAATCAAATACCTAGTTGTAAACTTAACAAAGTATGTGAATGACCTCTACAAGGAAAACTATAAACTTCTGAAGAAAGAGAGCGAGGAAGACTATAGAAAGTGGAGAGATCTCCCATGCTCATGGATTGGTAGAATCAACATAGTAAAAATGGCTAGACTCCCAAAAGCAATCTACATGTTTAATGCAATTCCCATCAAAATCCCAATGACTTTCATCAAAGAGATTGAAAAATCTACCGTTAAATTTGTTTGGAAAAACAAGAGGCTGCGAATAGTCAAGGCAGTACTCAGTAAAAAGAACAACGCTGGAGGTATCACAATACCTGACTTCAAACTATATTACTAAGCAATAGCAATAAAAAGAGCATGGTACTGGCACAAAAACAGACGTGAAAACCAGTGGAACAGAATAGAGGACCCAGATATGAAGCCACACAACTATAACCAACTTATCTTTGACAGAGGTGCTAAAAATATATGATGGAGAAAAGACAGCCTCTTCAACAAAAACTGCTGGGAAAACTGGTTAGCAGTCTGCAAAAAACTGAAACTAGATCCATGTATATCACCCTATTATAATTAACTAAAAATGTATCAAGGATCTTAATATCAGACCACAAACTCTAAAGTTGATACAGGAAAGCGTAGGAAATACTTTGGAACTAGTAGGTATAGGCAAAGACTTTCTCAATGGAACCCCAGCAGCTCAGCAACTAAGAGATAGCATAGACAAATGGGACTTCATAAAACTTAAAAGCTTCTGTTCAACAAAAGAAATGGTCTCTAAACTGAAGAGATCACCCACAGACAGAGTGGGAGAAAATATTTTCCAGCTACACAACAGACAAAGGACTGATAACCAGAATATATAAAGAACTCAAAAAACTAAACTCACCCAAAATTAATGAACCAATAAAGAAATGGGCAAGTGAACTAAAGAGAACTTTCTCAAAAGAAGAAATTCAAATGGCCAAAAAACACATGAAAAAATGCTCACCATCTCTAGCCATTAAGGAAATACAAATCAAAACCACTCTACTAAGATTCCACCTCACCCCTGTTAAAACAACCATCATTAGCAACACCACTAACAACAGGTGTTGGAGAGGACGCAGGGAAAAAGGAACTCTCTTACACTGCTGGTGAGAATGCAAACTAGTACAACCACTCTGGAAAAAAATTTGGAGGCTTGTTAAAAATCTAAACATAGATCTTCCATATGATCCAGCAATCCCACTTCTGGGGATATACCCAAAGGAATGTAACACAGGTTACTCCAAAGGGACTTGCACACCCATGTTTATTGCAGCACTATTCACAATAACCAAGTTATGGAAACAGCCAAGATGCCCCACTATTGATGAATGGATTAAAAAAATGTGGTATTTATACACAATGGAATACTACTCAGCCATGAAGAAGAATGAAATCTTATCATTTTCAGGTAAATAGATGGAATTGGAGAACATCATCCTGAGCAAGGTTAGCCAGGCCCAGAAGACCAAAACTCGTATGTTCTCCCTGATATGTGAACTTTAGGTCAAGAGCAAACACAACAAGGGGATTGGACTTTGATACATGATGAGGCGAGAGCACACAAGGGGGGTATGAGGATAGGCAAGAAACCCAAAAGAAAAAACAAGATAGCATTTGATGTCTTCAATGCAAAGGAACTAATGCAGAAACTTTAAACCAACAGAGGCCAATAGGAGAAGGGGACCAGGAACTAGAGAAAAAGTTAGTTCAAGAAGAATTAACCTAGAAGGTAACACACAAGCACAGGAAATCAATGCAAGTCAACTCCCTGTATAGCTATCCTTATCTCAACCAGCAAAAACCCTTGTTCCTTCCTATTATTGCTTGTACTCTCTCTTCAACAAAATTAGAGATAAGGGCAAAATAGTTTCTGCCTGGTAGCGAGGGGTGAGGGGAAAGGGGATGAGTGGGGGAAGGGGGTAGAAATGATCCAAACACTGTATGCACATATGAATAAAAGAAATTTTTAAAAAAGGGTATGCCTTTCCTCATCTTGAAATCTGCTAGCATCAGTGCATGAACCTGGGCTTCTGGTCAGTTCCTTCCAACCCACATGGCTAAGCCATACCAGTGGGAGGCCTGGGGAATGCACATATCCAGATATCCAGAGCTTTTTCTAGATTTTAAGAGGAGCCTGAAGATTATTTTCTCGCTTTACTTTTCCTTGTGTTTGTTCTTATTTACTTCACCATGCTTTCTGACCATGTATGACTTTGAAAGCAAAGAATGATATATTTGATCCTAAAGGTAGGATCAAAAGTGGGGAGCCTCTGGTTGAATCAGACTTGAATTCAATAATAATAACAATGAATGGATAAATGGTTCACATGATGTAACAGACCTCATTCATTGAAAGAGCAATATGGAGTTGGGAGAGGGGGAAAGAAGGAAGGGTGAAAGAGAGAGAGAAGAGAACAAGAAAAAGAACAACAACAATAACATCAGGAACAAGAAGAAAGGAGAAGAGAGAAGGATTGGTCACTCTGAGCCTATCTGCCTTTGAAGAGTCTACAAGAGAGAAGGGAATTATTTTGAGCTATAAAATCTTCTAGTGATCAACAGATCTTTATATGATTATGACTATGACCATTATATCAAATATCAGACCTTAAACTTCGTCCTATAATGTCTCTTGAGGTTGATAAGCTGGCTGAGGACATTGAGGCCTGGAGACATTGAGCAGGCAATTATAGGGAAGCCAGCTAGTTTATGATACAACTGATAATCAGTCCAGAAATCTTCTTTCTAAACCAGATTATCCTCATGTGATTTAGTTGGACCATGTTAAGATGGCTACAGAGATGTAAGATGTAAGATTCTCCCCAAAGTGTCTTTGGGTTTGGCTTCACAGGTATATTTGTACCTGTCACACCATGCCTATGAAAATATGACTGCCATGAATGCAGACAATTCCTGGGTAACTATATCTAATTATTCTAATGAATCCATGCTGTATTTGATTCTCATAGCAACCTTATTTAATTAGTGGCATTTATATCCCTTACAATAGCAAGTTTTTACACATGTAGAAACTGAGGCACACAGACATAAAATAACTTGCTTTAAACCTTGTAGGAAACAAGGGGCTAACCTGGGATTCAACCTCCTTCCCCAGCCTGGTTGTATAGTCTGTATTTCTTTTTTGTTGTTATCATTGTTTTGAGACAGGATCTCATTATGTAGCCCAGGCTGGCTTCTCACTCACAATCTTCCAGCCTCAACCTCCAAATCCTGGGGTAAGAGGTGTGCAGACCCTTTGTTCTGAATTACAAAGGCTAAACTAATAGCGATACTCTTATGTGAAAACTGTAAATCTTTAAATAATTGAAATTTACTTAACAGGAAAGGTGTTCTTGGCTCTGCCTTATCCCTATTTTCTTATGCATCGAGGTCTTCTTTCAGCAGAAGTTCTGCTTGACCCTAAAGACCTTTGCATGTTTTAAACCCTGACTGAATACAGGAAGCAAGGAG